GGTGGTGGGAGTCGCTGTCGCCCTCGCCGGGGGAAGGAAGGCGAGATCTGGAGAGCAGGGGTCTCTGCCTGTGGATGTGACACCAGGGAACTCCTCAGCCGCCCCGTTGTTCTGTCCCTGCCACAGCTGCCTTTGCTTCCCCGGCATGTGGGGGTCTGGAGGTAGAGGATGGAAGATGCAGGGGGTGGGTCAGCGTTGGGGGGGCGGCATTGCTGGGGCTGTTTACAGGCTAAGGTCGAGAGAATCGGCTGGCCTTATGGGGCTAGCTGGGGAGTGGAAATGCTGATTCCAGTTCTGTGAGAGCATGTATGCGGGCACCCTCCTTAGGTGTGTGGTACTTGGTGTGCTCAGAGGATAGTGTTTGTTCTGGTGGCCCACAGGTGTCCTCCAGTGTGTGTGCGTGCAGGGTTCTCGTCCAGCAAAGAGCTTGGTTTTCTCTGTGCAAGAACCGCTTTGCACTTAACGCCATACCGAGTTAAGAAGGTGAAGCATGCTGGCTCGTTTGAGCTGTCCGCAGTTTCTGTTCTTCCTTTTTCCTGTGCTGATCCTGGAAGTGCTCAGTGCTTTGCTCAGGCACCTTAGTTTCTGTCTGGACTTAAACTCCTGTATTCTTCTGTTTCACATGTTCCTCTCTATTACTCTGGCCCAAAGCTGACTTAGTATAGGATTCCTCTGTCTTCTCTCCTGCCAGGTGCTGAGAAGATGGCCTCCCCAGGTGCCCCGGGGACCCGCATGACATCCACAGTCAGTATCAACATTTCTACACCTTCCTTCTACAACCCGCAGAAGAAGTTTGCACCTGTGGTTGCCCCTAAACCCAAGGTGAACCCCTTGAAAGCTGGGGGTGCATCAGAGTCTTTGCCACCTCCGCCTCCTGGAGCAGAGTCGTTGCTGCCCCCACCTCCTGGAGCTGGCGCCCAGCGTGCTCAGATAGGGAAGGTGGGGGAGATTCCATCAGCATCCATGTCACTGCTGGTAGAAGGTAGGTGAGGGCTGGCGTGGCAGTTCTGAATATGCATTTCTAAATTCTGAGGGAGTGAGGTCTGTAAGCAGGGTTAACGTGAGAACAGGGCTGTAACTGCTATAAGTGATGGATAATTTTGCTGTAGAGGATGTCAGGTTCCAAAATGAAGTAAAACTATTGTAAAGGAATCTCAAAATATGTAGTATCTCCATGAGAAATGGAGCCGGGAAGGAAGTCCTGTGTTGCACTGATGCTGGAGAAATGCAATGGATTTTTCATAGTATTCCCTGAGTACACAATTGTGTAACTGCAGTCAGTTTCTAGCCAGCATGTCTGAGAGCAAGTGTGTTGCAGGGAAGTTGACCCTGATGGTGATGAATCATGCTATTCTCTTTCTTGTTCAGCTCAAGTTGGTTGTCTCTGACTGTAGAGATTCTCCTCTGCAGTTGTCATCTTTTGCTGCTGGAGATGTGGAGGAAGAAATAATTGTGTGAAAAAATGGTGGAAGCTATCATAAACAGGAAGCGAGACATAGAGTTTGTATGGCTTGTAGAGTTTTATACTTTTTCCTAGTGGTTTGGTTTGGGTGTGTTTTCCTGTGTAGAATGACTTCTTCCTTTAGTGTGGTGTGTGGTTTTCTTTTTGTTTGTTTTTGTGTTTGTTTTTTTTTTTTAATTTCCTGTGGTGCTGGGGTGGTTTTTTGTTTCAGTTTTTGTTTGTTGGTTGTTTTTATGTCCCCTAAGAAGCAGAAAGTTCCTAGTTGTGTGGCTCCTTAGTTGGAATTGTTCAGCATGGTGCCACTGGAAATTTCCCTAGGGGCCTCTTCCTAATGCTTGATGCTGCATCAAGTGACCTCAAGACTCTTACCAGGGTGCACCTCAGTCAGGATACGCATGTTCAGATAATGCTAACTGCTGTTCTAAATTTATTTCTTTTCAGTGTCAAGCATAGACTGTGCAACACAGATGTTTTCTAGCTTAGCAATCTAAGTTAGTGGGCAGCTGATGTGATGGTAGGAAGGCTGGTCCCGTGCTCAAAGGAGACAAATTCTTAAGCCATTTTTTCTATTTCTCGAATCACAAGAGCCTCAGTGTGTCAGTGCTTCTGTCTCCTAGAGTTGTACCAGCTAACTCTGGTGACCTTTTTCTCATATGTTGCAGGCTGGAATCTTGTGTCTGTAATCCAAAGTCACATTTTAGGCTTTATGATTTTCTGCTGTGGTTGTGTGGATTAGGGGTGTGTCTGTTGGAAGGTCTCAAACTGACACAGATACATTACCTGAAGTAAAAAAAGTTGGATGGATGTTAAAAATTATTTTCAATATACAGTGTAAGTGGAGGACTGGGTGTTGTTTGCTCCACTTCTCCCTTCCTTATAAAGCTTATTATGGAGCAAACGTAACTTGTCAGAAGGATTAGCAAAAGAACCATTCAGCTTAAGGTGCTGCGTCACCATTGGGTAAGAGCTGCCAGCAAGACATCTGAAACACAGTTGAACCACCAAAACTCGGTCATGAGAGAAATTATTTTATCTGATTTGATCTTTCTCTGATGCATCTCTTCAATCCTTCTCTTCCTTTCCTGTACACTCACCAAACAAATAGCAGTATACCATAAAGCCGTAGCAATTGGTCTCTTTGTCTTAAATTGCAGGATGGCTAAAAATGGCTTTTAGTGCATCTGAAAAAACGTGACAGCAGATCAGGGCTTCATTTGTGCAATATTCTTTATCATTTAAATAAATCAAAAGGCAAGTGTATACAAACTTTGTCCCAAACTGTAGTTTCAAAGAAAAAAATACCAGCCAAGTGTTACTTCTCTCCCCGAAGCAGAATTTCTATAGCATAAGAAGGCTTGAAAGAGGTGCTGCATACCAGTGCAGTTTATGTATTCCACTGGTTAATAGGATTTCAGCTTTCATTTTCTAAAAGGGAATATTGTCTTCCTTAGATTACAGATGAGAAGGCCTTATAAAGTCTGTTGACAATAGCTGGATATAAAGATGAGACAATTTGGTTACTGCTGTTAAATGTTGCATGTGGGGTAGCAGGAGTGAAAAACATGGTCTTTCACCCTACTGCTGATTTGGGCTAGCTAGGGAGAGAGGTGAGTGTCCAGAATAAGAGATGTGGAGGTTATGACTTGCTGTTTTCAGTGTTATTTGCTGCTTGGATGGTGAGAAGGACAACTTCTCCCATACATGGTGAAGGGAAGAGGATTCACATTTATTTGACTGTGTTGTAGTAGAAAATGTCTCTTTTTGCCTGTTCTACATCTTCAGCAAATACTAACATGTGGAAACAATGGGGTTTTCTGCTAAGAGATTGAGGCACTCTGGTGCTTACAAGGGTTTTGGAAAATTTCTCATGTCCTACTCTGTATCAGTTATGGGGACATTTTAGCCTCCAAAGGAAAGCTGTTTTCATTTCTCAGAAAAAAAAAAAAGCAGTTTCAAAGATTCCTCATATGCATAAGGGGTGGTTGGTCCAACTTGTTTATTCCCCCCCACTTGTTTCTTGTAGTGCTTACTAGCCAGCTGTGAGGTGCCAACTTATTTTCCTGTATTTTTCCTGCAGGCTCTTCAGGGTCCTGGCTTGCCTGCTGGCATTCCTTCTAATGCTGCTCTGTATTCAGCAAGTTACTGGTGAGAGAAGTATACGTTAGGGACCAAAGAGTGGAGGAATGGAAAAGGGCATAGTAAGACATGTTTCCCAATTATACCGTAACCATTCCCAGTGACTAATTGCAGTAGCTACTGAGGAAAGTTTATATGATAGCAAATAACTTTGGACAAAGTGAAAGGCAGCCTGTGGAGTTCAGTTGTCCTTGATGGGTGCTAAGGTCCCCTTGGTACTGGGGAACTACTTGCTGTATTACCTTCAAGACCCCTCCTGGGGTTTGTACTGTCTAAGAGTAAGAAATGATCCAAACTTGCTTTTATTCTCATTCTTCCCCACAGAGCTGCCACTGCCACCTCCTCCCCCACCTGGAGAGGAGGCAAGTTTCTCCTCCAACTGTGCTTTTCCCCCACCCCCACCACCCTTTGAAGAGGCTTTTCCACCAGCCCCAGAAGAAGTTTTTCCTTCTCCTCCTCCACCAATGTTTGATGAAGGGCCTGTGAGAAAGGTACTTGCCCCACAGGTGAGTGAGGTCAAGGGAAGTATAGTTCCTTGTGATGCTCTGTGGGTTGGGACAGCTTCTCACTACTCTCTGAACTCAGCAGCAGGAAGCCCTGAGATCTGGGAAAGCAGAAAATGCTACCACCCCATGGACCAGCATAGGTTAGGGTCAACTGGTTAGGCTACAGCTCTGCAGATCAATGCCCTGGGGTTCCTGGTGGACAGTGAGTTGAATGTGAACCAGCAATGCACCCTTGTGGCAATAAAGGCCAACCACATGTTGGGCTGCATTCATGAGAGTGTGTGTAGTCAGCAGAACAAGGACAGCCATTATTCATCTCTCTTCAATGCTGGTGAGGCTACATCTTTGAGGACTGTTTCCGGTTGGGCTGCCCAGTGTAGTAACCCCAGAGGAATACTGAACTAGATGCAATCCAGCAAAGGGTTATTGTGATCATTGGGGGGGTTGGAGCACATGATGTGAGAGCTGGGTTTGTTCAGCCTGCAGAAGAGGAAGCCAAGGCAGGGATCTAACTGCAGTCTGCAATACCTAGAGGAAGGCTGGAGAGAAGACAGATTCTTCTTACTGGGGCACAACAAGAGAACAAGAGACAATAGATACAAGTTTCGGCAAGGGAAATTCCTGTTGGACAGAAGACAAACCTGTTCTCCTCCAAGGGTGGCTCAAGACTGACACAGGTGCACAGAGAGGCTGGGGAATCTGCATCCTTAGGGATGTTCAGAAATTACTTGCACAAGGCCCTGAGCAACCTGGTCTAGCTTGGGAGTTAGCCCTGCTGTGAGCAGGGTGTTGGACTGGAGATATCAAGATGTCTTTTTCCACCTAAATCTGTCTGAGTTTCTTTGGGCTGTGCATTTTTCCAGTGTTTGTAGACCTTGGAGACTGGGCCCTGTTGATCCTCACCAGCTTGCTATCCAGTTGAAGCAAGGAGCAGACCTGTACCACAGTCCAAAGGGTCAAAATCTGCTATTGTAAGGGGATACACTGATTTTTCTCGCTGTTCCTGTAACATACTCTGCTCCCCCTTTCCTGATGGGTGGTGGTATGGGTACATGGCAAGGTGAACAGCATTGATCTTGAGATTGATTCACTGTCCGTAATGTTGGATGACATGGACAAGAATGACCCCAGGTTAGCTCTCCAGAATGTTGCACATGGAGGACTGGTTTGCTGAACGGAGGTAGTGAGAAGGGTGCTACTGAACATTAAAATGTCATGGATAAACCCTAGTGAGAAAGTGTACTTGAAGGACCAGAAAGCATAGATCTTGCAACTTGTCAGGACTGCTAAATATGTAACAGAGTGGGAACTCTCAACATTGTGGGTCTGGGATAGCTGCTGACTTACTGCTATAGACAGCATATTTTCTCTTTCACCTTTCTGATAACTGCCTGTTTCTCTCTGTTGCTTCCCTTTACAGATATCTCCAGGATCCACAGGTTCTCTGGAGAAACCATTGGCCCCAAAAGCCCATGCGGAAATACCATCTGCACCCAAAGATACTCCTCATACCTTTCCTTCCAAATTCACTCCAAAGCTAAGTGGAAGCTTACCTTTCAAGCCCCCTGGAGTGGATTTGACCCCTGCCCCAACTTCATGGGCAGCTCCACAGCAGCGCAAGGAGCTCCTAGTGCCAATCCCTCCACCCCCCTCTCCCCCTCCTGCTCAGACTGCCCCTAATTTCACCCCACCCCCTGTTGCTGGCTCTCCTAACTCTGGGTCCAAATCACATGCCAATGTTCCGACGGCTCCCTCGAACTCTACAAGATATCCTGCCTCCCTTCAGACTCAGTTCACAGCCCTTTCACCTTCAGGTTCCTCCTCTCGGCCACAGCCTCTCAATTTCACCTATGCCCAGCAGAGGGAAAGACCCCAGGTGCAGGAGAAGCCACGTCCCACGGAACAACCTGCTGCTGCAAAAGACATGGTAAGGGATAGAGCCATGGGACCAGTGTCTTTGGACAGGCACAGCATTGCTGGGAGTGAAGTTCGAGGACAAGGAGGGAGAGTCTGTCTCAGGCTAGAGGAAGCTGTTACCCATCTGAAAGAGAGCTGTAACTAGAGACAGTGGTGGAGAGGGACAGAACTTGATGTAAAGGTGGAAAGAAGCAAGCCCAGTGGATGGCAGATTGTTCCCTAGAGGGAGACAGAGGAGAAGTAGGTTTATTAGGGACAGGGTGGGAGGGAGTCTGTCTATATGTGTCCTTTGGGATTGAATGTTTCCTCTTCCTGCAGCATAGACCCACAGGCTCCAGTGCAGATCCACCTAGGGGAAATTCCTGTCTGACCATGAAAGAGGTAGAAGAGCTGGAGATGTTGACCCAGAAACTAATGAAGGATATGGAGCATCCGCCCCCGGCAGAGGCTGCTACTTCTGGTGCGTTCCCTCAGTGGACAGCAGGAGGACTAAGACTGTGGTGGGTTTTCCTCTCTCCTAATCCCTTTTTTCTTCCATTGACAGAGCTCTGTGGCTTCTGCAGGAAGCCCCTATCACGAACCCAGCCAGCTGTGAAGGCCCTGGACTGCCTTTTCCACGTGGAATGCTTTACCTGCTTCAGATGTGAGAAGCAGCTGCAGGGGCAGCAGTTCTACAATGTGGATGAGAAGCCCTTCTGTGAGGACTGCTATGCTGTGAGTCACGGGGATGAAAGCTGCTGGAGAGAGCTGAGCTTGCTGTGGTGGCTCTCTCTTGCTTTCCCTTCCTCCTTCCATCTAACCTGTCTATGGTGTAGCTTCCCAGGGATGGGGGATTGGATTAATGTCTCTTACTTGTTTCTTCTGGGCTCAGGGAACCTTGGAAAAGTGCAGTGTCTGTAAACAGACCATCACAGACCGGATGCTGAAGGCCACTGGGAACTCATACCATCCCCAGTGCTTCACCTGCGTGATGTGCCATACCCCTCTTGAGGGGGCCTCTTTTATTGTGGACCAGGCCAACCAGCCTCACTGTGTGGATGACTACCACAGGTATGGAGAGAGCGTGTGCATGTGGTATCTGAAAGAAAACAGATTCCCTCACGCATGTTTAACTTGCTCCAGTATGGGGCTGGGTTGCCCATGTGATCTGTTGGACATGACATTAAAAATGAGTCATCTATGTACCTTGTAGAAATTGAGGTCTTTTTCCACCTAAACTTCTTAGTGATTTATTATTTGTCTGCTGCTAATACTATTGTACAGCAGTGAGAAACCTAAATTGAATGCCACTATGGTGGTCATGGTCTCCTCCCTGTTTTTGTGGGTTGCAGGAAGTATGCTCCACGCTGCTCAGTCTGTTGTGAGCCTATCATGCCAGAGCCTGGAAAGGATGAGACAGTGCGTGTGGTGGCACTGGAGAAAAATTTCCACATGAAATGTTACAAGTGTGAGGTAAGCCTGGTGGCTCCACTCTTGCCATCTTTCCTATTTCTGTCACCAGCAACAGGGCACCTTTGTTGTCCATCCTGACCAAACATGAAGATAATTTTGAATGAATCTGGACCATTTCGAAGCAGGTTCAGAAAAAGATGAGATATTCACAGACCACAGGTGAACAAGGACTATGCAGGGCTGTAGTCTCTAACATCCCTAATACGGCAGCTCTGTGTACATTCTGGGATCAAAGAAAGGGCTTGTTCTTCCCTCAAAGTAGTATCTCCTGTTAGCACTGAAGGAGACAGAGCAGTGGGCTGTGAGCCATTATCCTGATCCAGTGGGGCATTTCTTAAATCCTTGAATGCATTTACCCTGCTGTTTGCTGTCCCTGAGCTCCCTCCCTCTTTTCTTTCCCTGTTTAGGACTGTGGGAAGCCCTTGTCCATTGAAGCAGATGAGAATGGGTGCTTTCCGCTGGATGGGCACGTGCTGTGTATGAAGTGTCATGCTGCTCATGCCAAAACGGCACGCTGAGGAGCTCGGAGCGCGCGTACCCTTGAGACCCCTGCACTCAGTACTCTTCCCTCCCCGCCGTTGTTCCTGTCCCTCTGCCTGACAAGGCAGATGGCTACCAATGGAGACTATACCAGTGCAGTTCTTTACTCATGTAGGATTTACTGCTCCTAGGCTTCACTCTGCACACCCACCAAGAAAGGACCTCTTCTCCTGCCACCACTTCCTGGCCACAGTGTATTCCAGGCTGGGGTCTATGATCAAGGTGAGTGCAAAATCACTGTGCCCTTAAGACTCTGGAGGAGAAAGAACAGACCACCACTGCCTGGTGGAAGTAGCAAGAATGACCTGGTGGCAGGTGCTGGGAGCCAAGAATGATGATTTGCCCTTACAAGGTGGAAGCCTCCATCTCAGCACCACTTCTGTCTTTGATGTTTTTGGTTTTTTTGGGGGTTTTTTGGTTGTTTTTTTTTTTTTTCTTGTGCCACCTCATTAACAGGATGTCTTCCCCTGCCCCCTCCCTCACTCCTGGGTTAGTGTAGAGGCAGAACATAGTGGGAATCTCTGTTATTGTTGCTGGAAAAAGCTAACCTACTGTATCTTTTCTGTCTCTAATGGATTTCACTGGCCAACTGTCTTGTCACTTTTTTTCCTTAGCCAGATTAAAATGGCAATGGTTGGAATCCTGCTCTGTTCCTGACTTTGGAAACTTTTTTTTTTTTTAATATATTTCCCTCCCCAAAATGAATTGTTTCCCTGTGTGGTTTCTGGGACAGCCAGGCTGGGCACCAGAGTAGCAAAACAGTCCAAAGAATGCATGTTTACAAATAAAGACCATGATAATGATGGGCAGCACTTGGTGAGGAGGCATCTCAGTGCATGGATGAGGATTCAGCAGACTGAGGGATGTCTCCCTATTCCAGTAGGGATTCCTTCACTGCTGTCAGTGAAAGCTGTAGTGTAATTGCAATGTACTGTCTGCCTCTGAGTGTTACTGCACTGAGACCCATTTCCTGGACTAGAAACTCTCCAATGGAAAAAATCTTTTGAATAAGTACACTGTCCAACCACTGTTCACATTCAATAAAATGTGGGTTTTTTCAATTCACGTATGTCTGCTGTATTTGTTCAACTATCCACGAAAATTGCTGTCTTAAGCAGTAGAGAATGTATAGTTGCTATTCCACTTACCCTCCAGAGATGATGATTCTGAAAATGGCCTTTCTCTGCACCTCTTGGTCACCTTTTCAAACTGCTTAGTTTCCGACTTTTCTATGCCTGGAGAGTTGGTCTCTTTTAAAACAGTGGAAGACTGCATTTCAGTACAGCAATGTTGGAGTCAGCTTGACGGTGTCACTGGGAGGCAAGCTATCACAATCCATTTGCATCGGACTGGAAATAAAGTGGTCAATTTGCTTGCTTCACCTTAACTATTGCTACTCAGAAAGTGTTTGTGCTTGATGGTTTTCGTTTTACACATGGTACTGTCTTGGTCACTGCAGGTGAAACTCCTCTTTGTGGTAAGCATCAATACTTCTACACTGTGAAGATATGAAGCCTATTCTTAGTCTCTTGCCAGTTTTGGGGAAGTCTCTAATGACTTCTTGAAGATTGATCCAGTAAATTGTTTGATGTTTCCTGTAGGATGAGCCAAGAAGAAACAAATTGTACATTTGCTTTCTCTTTCTTTCCTTATCCGAGTTCTTGCTCTTTTGTAGGCGTTGTTTTGAGTGATTGTTTCTAGATTGTGTGATTAAAAGCTCATGCCGACACACACAGAGGAGAGAACAATGGGCAGAGGGGGCAGGGGAAGCTCCTTCCAGAGTTATAGCCCTGGTACCTTTGCATGAAACCTGTCGAGTGGAGTCAAGGGCAAGTGGTCTCTGTATCACTTTACAGATTAAGGGCAGGTTAGTCCCTCTGAGGGGCATGGGGTACAGGGGAAGAGCATTTGGGGACTGTACAACACTTGTTATGGGATGTGTAGGGGCAGCATCAAAGGCAGGAAAAGGGAGTGATCAAGAAGAGGAAACAGCATGGAAAAACTAGGGGGAAGAGGGCACAGAAGGGGCTGGCTGCATGTACATAGTATGCTTGTCTGGCCATGCCCTGTATGTCATCAGTGCAGTCTGTCCTGTCTTCTTACTCAATTATTTTTTTTTTTATTTTTTTTTTTTAATTTCCTGGGAAGGAAGGGACTCTGTTCAGTGCATGTGGAGGTCTAAGTGGCGGTAACTGGAAATACCTGAGTGAATGCATATTGTGTGGGTGTGTAAGTCTATGTGTAATCACTAGCAAAAATCAAGTCACAGTAGCTGGTGAGTGAGTAGGGTAAGAGGCTTGAGAACCATGAGCTGGCATGGCTGCAAGTCTGGACAGATGCTGGAAAGACCAGTCTGACAGTCAGCTGCTAGAGCTCCCAGGAGGCCCAAGCCTGCTACTCTTGGGTCTGGAAGTCAGAGTACCAGGGAGCAGCTACCAAGACAACAGTTTGCATCAGTGTGTGAGGTGACTGGGAGACCAGGGAAGAGCCAATGTCTTGTGTGAGTGAGTGTCCACCGGGGTTGCAGGCCTCGAACTCATGTCCTGGTGCCAGCAACTAAGGAGACCAGCTCAGGCTCCAGACTGTGTAGCCAGCTACTGGATAGCTGGTCTTAAGACACTAGAGGGATCGATAGTATGTACATATATATTTCCTGTTAAGACATTCATCAGCCAGAGAAGGGAATAGGATCGGGTGGTTTGTGCTGTGCTTGCATGGCTGCTGTGTTTTCTGCCTTAGGCCAGTCATGTACATATTATATACATGTATATTTTGTGTGCATGAGTGCCTGTTGGGAATACATGCTCAGGCTTGCTACTGGCTGTTCCTGAGGACATGGAACTGAGCGGCCTCTTTTCTATCAGGCCAACTGATTCAGCAGCTCTTTGCAGTTGAAGTTGGAAGGGACCTCCTTGCTCAGAGCAGGGTCAACCAGAGCAGGTTGCTTGGGAATGTACCCTGTCAGTTTTGTAATACTTCCAAGGATGAGAACTCCACAACCTCCCTGGGTAACCTGTTCCAGTGTTTAACAACCCACAGCAAGTTTTTTCCTTACCTTCAAATTGAATTTATTGTATTTTTATGTGTTTCTACTGCTGCTTCTCCTTTCACTGGGTACTACTGAGGAGAGTCTGGCTACCTTTTCTTCACTTCCTTCCATCAGGTATTTATACACAATGATAAGAGACACCCAACTCTCCTCTCAAGGCTGAATGGTCCCAGCTCTCTCAGACTCTCCTCGTATGTCAGATGCTCTAATCCCTTCAAAATAATAGTGGCTTTTCACTGGACTTGCTCCAGTAAGTCTGAGTCTTTCTTTGTACTGGACACCATGCTCCAGATGTCTGACCAACGCTTAATAGAGGGGAAGAATTGCCTCCTTCCAGCTACTCAGATGCATTTGCTAATGCTGCTCACTACAACCTGGAAGTCTTTTCCTGCAAATCTGCTTTCCAGTCAGCATCCAGCATGTACAGGTGCATGAGGCTCTCAATGTCGGCACAACTATCTGATGTATCAACTACTTCCAGTTTCTTATCATCTGCCAAGATAGGCTAAAGTTTAAATATGTACGACACAAGCTCACAATCCTGTGTCAACCTCATCAGGGCTTATCTTCTAGCCTAGATATCTGCTATGTAGCAACTTTATTTATTACCTATACTTCATGTTAAAGACACCTATTATTAAGATTGAATTTACTGATACACTCTTACTGTGAGTCTTGTTACTGTATCTTGTCAGTTGTATCTCTTACTGTAGTTGCAGTGACTTGAGTAGGCGAGGTACATGTATACTATGGTTCCTTGTGTATACTCTGCTGCTTCTCGTGTTGAATAGAAACCAGCTTTCTTGCTTCAGGTTGCAGTTCTTTAGATCCCTGCTTCTTAACCCTTCTGTCATGAATGGTTAAGCTAGACCTTCCCAGGAGCAGGAGTGTTAATTTATAGCCTTAAGAATTTGGAACACTATACAATTACGGAAACACTGATAGCTATCTACAGCAAGTAACTGATTGCTGAATGGCTAGCACTCACCTTCTTCACGAACCTAGACTTAGCTTAAGCACTGAAAAATAAATCTCGAGGTGACTACTTTTCCCAAGTAGGAGAAGGTCTTGAAAAATCTCACTTTGATGTTCCTTTTTCCTCCTGGACAGTCTATTCTGCAGGAGAGGGAAAAACTACTCGCATGTATTTCATCAAACTACAGCAGTAGCTTCTAAGACTTCTCATGGTTTGGGGGTAAACATAGGAGCTGTAAAAAGGTGGACTTGGCTAATGGATGGATACAACTGTAACTGTGTTTACAGAAAAAAGTCTGAAGTGACCAGCTGCATATGTATCCTTTAATGCAATTGCATTTCCACATTAAACCTGTAGTTAAATGGACAAAGATCATTGGCTGAAACAACTAAACATGGACGGAAGGACCTTGCTGGAACTTATAATGTATATGCAAAAGTAAAGGTCCCAATCATATTTGAAATGAGACAAAGAACTCCAACACAGCCTGCTCTGCCACAGGTTTATTTACAAAATACTATTTACAGTCTATAACTGTCTTGAGCTCTGATAAATAATTTTTCCTCCACAGAGAAGGAATAAGACAGACCACCTACACATTTTTCTGTTACAGGTACCCTATCCAGACAAACAAAACTATTCTCTCTTTTAAAAAGAGGCAGAGAAAAATGGTTGCCTGAAGGGTTTTCTGTCCATGGCAAAAGTAAGGGTATTAAGCAGGTTCGAGAGATGTAAATCTCACCGCTAAAGTGTGCATGTGCAAAACAGCAACATGCTGAGGTTACATGATAAGTTGCAGCTCCTCCAAAAGGTACACCATTAGTTGGCATTTAAGGCAAGAATAGCTGAATTAAAAAATATAGCCTTGTGAAAGACTGCATAGTTTGTTCCTGTTGTAAAACAAGGAAGACAGAAGGTTGCTGAAGTGAGAAGGGTTGGATGCCAGAGAGTGAAAGGGCCCAATCTCTACATGGCTGTGTCCTTGTGCATGTTCTCTGAATGTCCCAGTCTATCTGAACTCTCATCTCCAATCTTAAAACATGATCTACTGCTCCCAACCTGCTTTGTATGTATCCTTATGTTTCCACGTGATATACTGAGGGTCTGAAACTCCAGTATGTAGAGTACAGGGATTACTTAGTGCTGAACAGAAATGGACTACAGAGAACAACACTGAGAACAGTTTCTAAGACCAGTGCTCTGAATCATACTGATCATTCCTGTAGAGCTAAAGCAAGAGGGAACAGAAATGAGAGCAGGTGGTGTTGCCTCAGGAGCCTTTTCAGTTCTGGCTGTTTTGCTTTGTTTGTCCCAGTCACTCATTTGGAAGCAACTGCCATAGGAATGATTCCAAGTGATATCTGGTAAGAATGGGCATCTAGCAAGCTTAAGAGAGCAGCGACTGGTCACTCCTTAAAGCCTTGGATGCTACACAGGATCCTCTTCTGGTGGCCTGGAAGTGACACTCCCATCTGTTTCAAGTCCCTGAAGGAAATGGAAAAAGAAAGGAAGAAATTAATTGTTGTTCTTCCTTGGGGCATGAGATGTGGGTAAGGGCAGAAACAGTTATCAAGCATTAGTTCAGAAACCTTTTATTCCCTCAGTGAACCCTACTACACTTACCTTTTCTCTGGAAGGAAGAAACTTCTAGATGTTCTGCCCCTCCCTAGCTACCTCTGCCCACCCAGTCACCTGCCTTCTCCCATCTCATGGAGGCTGTGCTCCCATCAGATCAGGACTGTGCTCATGTCAGCTTGTGATATGGACCATTTTTCAACCCTTCAGCAGGTCTGTCCCTGCACTGTGCCTGCTCATTTGTTTTATGTAACTGCCCTGGTTGGAGCAGACTATACATCCCAACCCTACAACAGAACGTGCCTGTGTTGGTAAAGCATTTGACCTGAGTCCTAAGGAGCTCAGAAGGCCTTTGCTCTATGATAGAACAGTGCCTGGCTGATGTGAGAGGAATATCAGCAACCCATCAAGGCAAGAAAATTATCTTATAAAGTCTTCCAAGGGTGGGGAGATGGTCAGGTCAGAGAACTGTCTGCCATCTATTGTTTCCCCTTGCTGTTTGTATCCAGTGTGAGTACAGAGCAGCTCAGGCCCCTGAAGAGCCTCAAGCATGGACAGTTAGGGAATTAGCCTTACAGTCTAGGCTGATCCCAGTTCTTCTGGGCTGATTCTTCCAGGCTGATTCTTCCCTTTTAGGTCCACTTCTATTTAACTATATAGAGGAGGATGGAGAGAAGCCTTCTAAGTAAATATGAGTGTCTGTTCAGATAGCACAGGGACAGACACAGTCATTTGTAGCATAGCCTGGGGTGCCTTGTGGGAGCCTAGCCTGCCCTTACTCAGCAGTGAGCTCCAGAATAGATTCCATGGTGTCCAGGCCAGCAGTGCGAAAGTTGGAGATGTAGCGCTTCATGCGAATGGATTCCAGCCACTCGGGGATGGAGCGATAGGGGATCCCATCAGATCCACTGCAGCTGGGAAGACGGAGTGTTACCCTAAAGACAGATAAAACCCTCATTAGCCAGGCAACTACCTTAAATGGCCAGTACTATGAGATAGTAGCTACAGAGCAAGGACGCTCTGCCAGGACTAAGCCCATTTATCTGCCCTCTGCACAATGAGGTCGGACAGTCCAGGCCAATGGGCATGTGCTCTGTCACAATGAGAGAGAGAGAACTACAATCTTCTGCACACAGAGCATTCAAGGTGCCTCCTGCCAGCATGCATTGCTAGCATTCTCTCCTCCTGCTGGAGATGGGCAGGTGAAAATCTCCCAGTTCACCTCTCCTCCAGTCATAGCCTGGCTTACCTGGGATCAAAGTCCGCAACAGGCCGGAGGAGCTGGGGAGTTGAGATGAAATGTTGCAGCTGTGCCCGGATTTCCTGGAAATGAGGCCTCCTCATCCGATCGTGTGACCAACAGCTCTTCATGAGCTCGTAGAGGATAGATGGGCAGTCCACAGGGGGAGGGAGCCGGTACCCATCCTCTAAGCTTTTCATCACCTGCACAGAGGACAGGGAGAAACCTTGCCAAGAGCAGGGAGTGCAAAAGAGAAGCCAGAGGCCTCTGTGGAGCTGGGAGCATGCAGTTCACCATTTTGCACAGCATGCAATCCAAGGGGGGTTGAAGCAGATTACATGTTTTTAGTAGGGTTTCGGCAGCACAGCAAAGGATCACACCCAGGGGAATGTGAAAAAATCGAAGTGGCATACACAGGTACTTCACAGGTACTTTAAATCCTTTACTAGCCTAGCTCCCATCTGCCATTCAGGGCAGGTGTTCATGAGAAGTGAGGACCAAATGATCCTGGCACAGGCCTGTTGACAAAAGGGGAACCAGGCTCTGAGGAATAATTTCAACAGCATGTGCTAACGTCACAGATGTGCTGAACCTAGAATGAGTATGCGACCAGACATAATTCTCTCTTTCTTCTGGCTCTGGAGTGAGAAACCAACAGAGAACATCTCCAGAACCAAGGGCCATGGTTGATTTAACCAGTCTTTAGTTTGGCTCATTGCTGTTGATACCTGAATATGATTCAGAGGCCCAAACGCTTATTGCCCTTGACTTGATTACATTCATTTTTAGCAGGGAGGGAGACATAGTACTTATGCATTCCAAAGTCTGTCAAGACTGCAGGCTGAGGGAGATCTACAAAAATTTGGCCTACATGCCTTTTTTTTTTTTTTTTTTTAAATCAGCACTTTAGCTCAGTTTCTGTTACCTCTTGATTGGTCATGTTCCCATATGGCTTGTCACCAAATGACAGCACCTCCCACATGACAATTCCAAAGCTCCAGACGTCACTGGCTGAGGTGAAAATCCGATGAGCAATGGCCTCTGGGGCTGTCCATCGGATGGGAATCTTACCACCCTGTGAAAGAGCAGAGACATAGTGTATCCAGCATGTATTATGGAGTTGTACTTCTTGAGTGCTTTCATGCAAGGAGCTTGCAAAGTGGTTCAAAGACTGGGCCCACTTCACTTGAAGTGATGTGTAACCACCCCTGGGGAAATTGTCAAAAGGACAAAAACATTCCTGGAAGGTGACTGAGTTCAAGCTGTCTGTTCAGTTGAGTGTTACACAAAAGCACTGCTGTGGGAATAAGAGCCTGACACCAGTCAGAGCCTTACTTTGAATAACACAAGACATTAGCATCCCTGGAACTTTCATTGAAAGGGACCTTCTTTAGTCCAAACCCCTGATCACAGCAGGGCTATCTTTAAAGCTAGATTTAGTTAATTGAGTCCAAAAGATCAGACCTCTTATTTTGCTTCTCATTTCGAAACCACAGTCCCTCTGAATCTCTTAGCAAGCAAAATCAACATGGACTCCAGACAGAAAAGCACCACCTTCTGAATCATCTGCACTGTGACTTGCAGTTTTATTATGGGTTTTCCTCAGAGATTTTCTGTCCAAATCTTCCCCTGGTCTGGTGTTTCCTATTGTGAAGAAATTCTGCCATTCTGATCTAGCAGAATCCCAATCCTCCTCTGACTACAGTTCATTTACAAGACTGAGATTGTTTTTGCATTACCTTGGTTTCATAGGTTCCTTCTGCATCATTCTCCAATATTCGGGAGAGACCAAAGTCAGACACCTTGCATTGAAGACTGCGTGTTACCAGGATGTTGCGAGCAGCCAGATCCCGGTGCACATAGTTGTGTTCTGAAAGGTAGGTCATGCCAGAGGCTATTCCCTGCAGCATGCTTACAAGCTGCACAGGGCTAAATTTTTCCTCATTATCCTGCATGGAAGAAGAAGTGAGGAAGATCCTGGTCAAGTGATATCAACCTGCTTGGCTTCTAGTTACTGGTCTTATCAACTTGCAAAAGTAGACATGGGTGAACAAGCAAAAAGGCAATGCTGCAGCTCAAAGGACCCAACAGGTTCTTACTAAGGGACAGGTGGTGGTCTCCAGAGTCATCATTAGGCACCTGCATTTCAACTACCAAAGACAGCACTCAGGACACTGAGCAAACTGGATGGCATCAAGCTTCAACTGCTGATACTGGAAATGTTAGTGAGCAGAAAGTAAACAGATGTCTGGGTCTTATTTCTAGTCTTCTTTTAGGGTCCTAAATCCAGGTTAAATGCAAGTTCTGGCAGTACACAAGCTTATCACAGATTGGAGTCTCACCCGGAGGAAGGTATCCAGTGCTCCATTCTCCATATACTCAGTGATGATCATCATTGGCCTCCCTTGAAGAAGATAAGAAGGTGTCAGCCTTTTTGCAATTCTCCTACTCTTGCCTTTCAATACTCTCCACGTTGCCCCAACATACAGAACCATATCCAACCCTAGCCAGCATCCCCACTCCACTGTCACAGCTGGCTGACCCTTCTTAGACCTCCCCCAATGATTTTGTATTCCTCCTTGTGTTACAGCATCACTTACACTATCTCAGCTTCTCATCCACACACCAATCCAAGAAGACCTCTCCTAACATTGCCTCATGACTCTATTAGAAAGCCGTACCTCTCCTCCCTTCCTCTTTCTCTGGCATAGGCTAATATGACAATGCCCATCTTCTCCCAGCACAGCCTCTCTGACAGCATCCTCTCCAAGAAAGGCCCGAGAAATGTGCCAGTTTCTGCTCTCATTCCAGGACTCTCTCCCACACACTCTTACTTTTGGTGACAACTCCTTCCAGACGCACAATGTTCGGGTGATTGAATTGCCCCATAATTGTTGCCTCACGCAAAAAGTTCCACCACTGTGAGTCTGAATATGTTGACTTCAGGGTCTTGATGGCAACCACGATACGTTCTTTCCCTGGGAGCCGCAGGGACCCACGATAGACCTCCCCAAACTCCCCTGAGAACAGTCAGAGGCAAAAGGTTACAGATGAACTCAGGAACAGGCAGCAAAATAACAGTGTGGGGGAACTGAAAGATGAGGAGAGAGACACGTAACTCACCCTCTCCAATCACATTCTCCATAGTGACACAACAGAAGTCCAGCTCCTTAGTGAATTCCAGCACCCCTCTGCTGGGATCATCGTATGGTTGCAGGTCTACATAAGGCTTCAACCAGACCTTCTCTATGGTAAAGGGAAACAAATGAGAAAATGACCCTGTCAACTCCTTGGACAAGTTTTGCAGGGCAAAGCTACAGGAGAGATGAATCCACGGGATTCTGATGCTGGCAGTAAAAAAAACTACCAAACATACACTGAAGAGTAGCTACTCTGTGAAGAGGCAAATTACATCAGAAAATCCATGCCAGTATCTGGTTTGAAATTACTGTATCTTTTCATTCCTTCCAACCCATTCCAGGCCCCTTCCTGGTTCTATTACCTCTTTGAAGCTCACCTCGATCAAAGCCTGAAGTACTGTAATCTGGCTGTGCTTGTCTCCGACGACCCTGCCTAGAATATAAGAAGTAGTCATGAAAATTAAAAATGGTCAGCAGATAGCAAAGAGAAAAGCAAGACTTCCAGGGCTTCTGCCCTAGTTGGTCAGGAACGGAGTTCAGGGTAGCATAGAGCAACGTGGGGCCATACACTGCACCTACTTGGTAGAGTACAGCTAGCAAGAAAATGTGATGCTTCATTTACGTTTAGAAGTGGAGTTTTGTTCCCATGCAGGTAGTTTAGTTCACCTTCTGCCTGCTGAATTACAGATTAATTTATATTTGTTTTATGTTTTCTGTACACTTTCAGTACAACACCTGGTCTTCTTAAAACCAAATAATAGCAGCCTTATATATATTTAGAAAGGAAGTAGAATTTTGTATCTGAGTAGAGGATGACTAAAGTAACAGTATATGGAAAATGGTTTGAAATTATTGGATACATGTATTGCTCATTTAATTGATCAGCAGCTATAGAAAAGATTGTACCGGAACAATATTTTTATTCATCTGTCACGATAACAGTATGATAGTGCAGGATTATAACAAAACTAGGACTAGAACAAAACTCTACCCACCCAATATCCTATGAGAAATCAGGGCCTCCCTCCCTTTCTCAAGCTCCCATAGCTCAGCTATTCCTACATCTATACCTTTTCAATACCAAAAATCAACACTTACTTTCGCCGAAAGATGAGAAGCCCCAGAAGCAGCCCAATAAATAGTAAAACTCCGAAAATAATAGAGACTATGACTCCACCAGACAGAGCTCCCGTGTCTGCAGAAACAAAGAGAAACACTATATCATTTAAAAGACCAAGAACTATTTGTCTGGAATGTAGCAACCAGCTTACACCAGCCGATAGTACTAGGTAAGCTACAGCCATTTGTCTTCCAGGCAGTGGAGCCACCAGATATGAGTCCTATTGTACTGTTATCCATGTGCATAAAGCACCTTCTGGTGGGTATCTGGTTGACTCTTACCTGCAGTCTTGGTCTTCTAGCTGTGTAATTTATCTCTATGCCTGATTTCCCACAATAAATTCCATGATACTTTCAAAAATTAAGAACACCTATTGCCTCTCTGCCACTACTCTTTCAGATCAGACCCTTCTTCCTGCTCAGTAGCTGGTTTAGACTATGGCACAACAAAGACATGATTTTCCCCAGCAGTCTAACTTAACTCTCTTGTTTATGAAATTAATTTCCCCCTACCCTTCCATCAATATCTGGGGTTGGTCTTTTGCCTAATTACCTTGACAGAAGCCACTGTCTGCTTAGAACTTTTGAAACAAGCAACAAATTTATGAACT